GATGCTCACAGGAACAACCCGGGCGCAAACAACGACAAGCACCGGCGCCTACGGTGGTCAGACCGGACAAATCCCCCTCTCCAAGTGAGGTCTGTCTTTGCGGAGGGATGTCCCGCTGCCACATCACCTCTTTCACTCGGAGATGGGGACTTTGGCATCGCCACTTCTAACCCGGATCGTTTCTGTGCCTAAACAGCGCCCGGGCCGTACCCCACGGCCGTACCCACCCGGCAGAGAAGGGCCTAACGGAAACAGCGCAGCCAGGTACTCCCGGTAACAGGTACCCGCGGAAAATGGGCTTCCGGGCTACGGGCCTGCAGCCCCCCTGCTCGTCGGGCCACGGAGGCTCCTGGCTCAAAGCACCGGGGACCAAACACAACGCGAGGAGTCTTTGTCACGCTGTATGAAGTGACTTACTTGTATGTTCCTTTTGAGGATCTCCCTGGTCAGCTGAACCTTTCCAGTGCTTGGATCCACCCCCGCAAGGGGCACCATGACCTCTCCAATAACGTCATCTCGAGAAAAGCGATCGAAGCTCAACACGAGGAAGTGAAGCACCAAATCCTGGAGCTGGCTGTACGGGATCCCGTAGAAGGTGAAGGTTTCATCAAAGACTGGGTCGAGCGTCTTGCGAAGGACACGAGTCTTCACTCGATGCCTTTTATCTGGAAGAATTGTCATCTTGATGTAAGGGTCAGAGCTCCGAGTATGCTCATCCATCACCGGCAGCCCGTGAGCCTCCTGAATGGTAACTACCAGCGCTTTTTTGGGGAAGTTGTAGTCCACTGAGAAAGTCAGTTCACCCAACATCACGTCATCCCCTGGAGAAGATGGGGAGGAGGTTTTACTTCCTCCCGGAGTGAGGCTTTGATCTGGACTTAGTTCATCTCCATAATCGACTTTTATTGGGAGCTGGTCGACGTGGGGGGCTGCATTTGGCCCATCTGGAGCCTTTTCGGAGCCTACTAGACCAGATTCGGCGGCATCCACCAAGAGGTTTCCCCGTCCCGTCTCCTTAGGAGGGCCATTCTTGTCTCTCCGGATTCGGTTAATTTTCTTCTTGTTACTCAAGGTCTCCGGGTAGATACTGATGCCTTTCAACATGTGAATGAATTTGTATGGTGGGGTTTTGTGCTTCTTTTCTGCTTGCTGGTGACAGCATGTCCACACAAAAACTGTTACTGAGACAGAGACCACAAGGACAGTAGCACCAATGAGGCCTGCCACCACGGGAGAGACATCTGTGGAGAAGACAAGGCAGTCAGGAACGAGCTCGTACCTTCGCGGTGGCCCTGCCCCCCCAGGGCCAGGCACATCTGGGCAGAGATCTACAGGGTACTACTGCGTTGCTCTTAATTCAATGATCTCGCTAGCAAAGCTCCCCAGAATAACAAATCACTTCCTTTTCCCCCGTGGAACACACGTACCACTCCTAAGGCATGCCTGAGCTACGTTTCACGTGCTCAGAATTCCAAATGCTGGTCGCCTTATCTTGCCAAATCAAGCTCCCACATCACCAGCCCCTCCGCAGCGACACGGCTTCTGGATTTGCAGGGAGCGCTCTTTTTTTTTTTTTAATGCCCCATTCAGAGACACGACACAATTCTACTTCAACAACAGGAAGGGAGCAGTAAACGTGGCCCTGACACTGGCTCTGGAGTTATCCTTTATTAACGATTCTTAAAAAAATCACTTTGGCCTGAAACGGTTGATTGTTCCGTCCCTTACGGCAGACACGGGGCCACTGGTACACACAGAACTTCACGTGGAAATCCAGTGTGCAAAAATAACGGACAGAAAATCCTGTATTTGGATTTAGGGATTATTTGATGTTTTCTAGAGCTTACGTCAGCTACGTTCTTCAGTAATGACAAGCCAGAATAGAAAAGCCCCACGTTCATTTTTAGCAGCCGTGCTGGTTATTTCTGCTTATAACGCCTGACTTCGGAGAAGTGTGACCGAGACACAGAATGAAAGCAGCGGAGCTGAGCTCCCCAGCGCTTCACACTGCCAACCTCGAGCCATTCCAGCCCAGGGCCACCAAGATGATTAAAAAGTTAGAGCAGATGGAGAGCAGATGGAAGACGAGGAGATACCAAAAGCGCGGGGTTTGTTCAGCCTTACAAGGGAAGGAAAAGGGAGAGAGGTTACAGGGAAGGTAGAGCCAGGCTCTCCTTACAGCTTGGTCTTGTATTACTGGTTTAATCATCATTAAAGTGAATTTTTTTTTTTTTTTGGAAGCAAGCAAACACAAAAGCCCTCTAGCGCTACGTCTCTTTCCTTACAAATCGTACAAATTGCTTCCACAGTAAAAGGGAAAACCAAAAATCATTGGCCTGACAATCACGGCAATAGCTAACGGGAACAGGCAGTAAAGGAGGCAGGCTTGGCTGAATTCCCCATCTTCACCGTACCATAAACAGGAGAAGATCATCTTCCCACCTCACACCTGAGCACCTCGATTTTGTATTTTCTGTGTTCTTTCCACATTACCATTTACGGCAGTTAACAGGCAAGACGACAAGGCTGCCAGGCTACAATCTACAGACCTGAGAGGCTCAGGGAAAACTGAGATTTTTCAAGAGAATACATCTCCTTTTTTGCAAAAACAGCAAAATCACTTTTGGTTAGACAGAAACCTTCCTAGACTGAAGTCTTTTGTAACAGTGACCGACTTCAGAGCTAGATCTGTCTGAGGCCTCACTGCAAGTATAGCCTTGGATTTAATTAACTAAAGGCAAGAAGAATTCCAAATATTAACACCCCCTCCCCCCAAAAAAACCCTTTGCTACTTAACGTTCCCTCTTTGAAATGGGGCAGGTGGTCTTTAACAGCTAATTTGAGAACTCAGCCACGGACAGATACTAAAATCTCCAGTGGATATGCAAAAAAGGACAAATGCTGAAACTCCTTTCTTATTCTGATCTCTGTGTGTGTGTGTGTGTGGTTTCTATTGTGTCTTCACAGAATCAGCTGTTGTACTGTTGTGCCTTCATTTCCCGCAGATCTGATGGGACAATTTCAGAAGAAGCAACCAGCAGTTGCGCTGGGAAGCACCAAATTGGTCTTTATGATCTTTCTTCCATCGGATTAACTCTTAGATTTGGCTCCCATAATGTTCTGCGGCAAAGAGTTCCTCAGCTTAATCACGTGCCATGAGAAAACAAGGGCTTTTTTTTGGAGCCTGCCCCACCTCGTTTCATTTGATGCCTCTCCCTGCCTTAGAGGGAACAGGGAGCCACCATTCCCCGCTCTGTGCTGCCCGTGACACCCCTCTTCTCCTGGCTGAAGCCTCCCACTCATGCAATTGTTCCACACATCCACTGGTCCTGTCCTCGTGATTCCTTACAGCGGGAAACCACCCTGATGCAGAGCTGCCTAAAACCAATTTCAGTTAAACTCTTGCGACTTTCAAAGCACTTCGCTGTGCACAACGTCCATTTTACATGGCACCGCCACCGGTCTCCTCTCAAAAAGAGCAGAACCATGGGTTTTAATTCCAGCTTTGTAGAACAGATCTTTGTTCCAACGCGATGCTAAGAATTAACTGAAACAAAACCAACTTTGGGCGATATGGAATTGTTTTTCGATTAATGAAAAATCATTGAAAACTCCCTTTTAAAACTGATGTTTGCTAACTATAACCCCACGGCTAATGGGGGCTTAAATTATGACAGCACGTGGCTCTCGGATTCTAGGAAACCCAGAACGTAAAAGGTAAGTGCATTGCACGTTAGATAAATGGAGAATTATTACTAAGTATTTCAGAATTTAAAGGAAATGTAGTAACTGTGCCGTAACTACGGGGCCCTGGGGTCTGAGGGGAAGGTCAGTCCATCGCTGGAGGACGGGAAGAGGCAGCAGTTTGAACCCGACTGCCACAGACACCCAGCGCTGCGGTACCGG